AACTCAAAATAGAAAACAATATGCACCAAGTAACATCATAAAATCAACTATGATACTCAACATGTAGCAACAACAAGTACTATATCATTAACAATTACCGTCAAGTTCACACATGAGGACTCAAGCCTCAATACCGTACTCATTTGGGAATTATGTTCATTAGATTGAGTAGATTAACATCTTTCAAGATTCATTATCTTTATTTCTCTTGTGTCGGTACGTGACACTCTGCTCCCTCATACTCATTAATCCTCTTGTGTCAGTACGTGACACTCCGATCCCCTAAATCTACGTGTCGGTTCGTGACACCCGATCCCCTAAATCTACGTGTCGGTTCGTGACACCGGATCCCCTAAATCTACGTGTCGGTTCGTGACACCCGATCCCTTAAATCTACGTGTCGGTTCGTGACACCCGATCCCCTAAATCTACGTGCCGGTTCGTGACACCCGATCCCCTAAATCTACGTGTCGGTTCGTGACACCCGATCCCCTAATCTCCTTCTATCCATTCATCAAGCCTTCTTTCTTACCAAGGCATCATCAATCTCATTATTTTAGTTCATCACGCCTTCTTTTATACCAAGGCTTCATCATTAACAAAGAGATTAGGGTTTTGCAAGATTTGGGATTCAATAACTTCATCATGCTTATATAATCACAATTATATAATTACATTCATGCAAGCATACAATTAAGCACATAGCAGGGTTTACAATATTATCAATACATATCATTCGCTATTAAGAGTTTACTACGAATATCGTAAGAGAAACCATAACCTACCTCCACCGAAGACTAGTGATCAAGCAAGCAAATTTTCTCCAAAGCTTTTGTGTTTTCCCCTTCTCGATCGACCCTCTCTCTTCTTGTTCTTTCTATTTTCTTTATTCAAACCCTCTTTCTTTTACCCTAATTAGCATATAATTAAGAATAAAATATGGCAATAATAAGCCACTAATTAACTTAAGGTTACCTCTTTTAACCCCCAAGTAATTAGACTTATTAACATTAACCTACTAACTTTATAATTAAAGCAGGAATAGTCAAAAACGTCCCATAAAACGTATAAAGAAATCCGACCCAGACTGGGATTACGCAACCTGCAACGGCCCGTCGTGCCTGCGACGGTCCGTCCTGCAGGTCGTCGCAAGGTTCAGAGACTCAATTTCCACCAAAGAGTCTGTGACGGTCCGTCACACATGTGACGGTCCATCCTGCCTTTTCGTTACGAAGTTCAGAGAGTCGATTTTTAGTACCTAATTTCAGATTTTCTAAGTGTTTTGAAACGAGACCCTGCGACAGTCTGTCGTGCCCATGACGGTCCATCGTGGGGTCCGTCATTTCTGCCAATTTTTCCAGAATTGAAGTCTGTTGCTCAAAATGACTAAACAGGTCGTTACACTATTCTGCGATTATCCAAATCAAAGTCAATGAGTCAATGAAATAGAAGTCAAATAAGTAAAGATAAATCGTTAAGTTTTACCTCTTGAGCTGGTGGTTGCATCACTGGTAAGACAGTAACACCTCTTATTCTACATGTACTAGTTCTATTTATCTGACACTTATAAATTGCCTTTTGATATAGCTTTGAACTTGGTTTTTTATGCGACTAGTGACAATATAATAGGTTGAAAGTTGTAATACATTTTCCTTCCAAAACATATATGATTAAGTGAACTCAAAACTAATTCAAACTCGAGATAGTAAAAGGTGGTCTCCGATGTGAAATTCAAAGTGGTCAAGTGTGTGTTAGTGCTACGGTCTTGAAAAGAAACTAAGATTGGGAAAATTGTGTAAAAAATAAGTGAGGTACTTTCTTGACTAAACTACGCAAGTACAAGTAGGTGATACAACTACTTAGAATTTGTGGACTGCATTTTAAGTTAAAAGGGGCAAGTAGTTGATGCACCAACTAGAATAAGTGGACTGCATTTAAGTGAAAAGAGTAAGTAGGTGATGCACCTACTTAAAAACTTGTGGCAGAAATTAAAGAGGTGATGCACCGGCTTGTTTAAAGTAAAGGACCATATTATTCTCCATTTTATGAAGTGAAAACATCCAGAATCTACCTGTAAAGCACTCAAGCTCATCACATTTTCTTTACCACTTATTCTCCAGAAAATTACTACCAAGGAAAGCCATAGAAGCTCCAAGAATTCTGGTCTACAACTTCACCATTAAAACATGAAGGAAACATGTGTTTTTAAAGTAAAAATTGGTTCAAGTGAATAGTATGATCTAACATCAAAGTAAGGGGGAGAGGACAACCTAAACCTTAAAAATCCAAGTCTTAGCTAGTGAGGTTTCGTTCCACCAAGGTAAGCTATGAAAATGTTAATCCCTATCTTGTTTTTGCATTTTTTGTGAAAGTTTGTATGTGTTAATGAAATGATGTGTGCTTGGTCAACACACATGGTAAAAGCTTAGAAAGGATGTGCTTGTTGGGACAGCCATGGAGTGGAGTACCCTTAAATTTTGATTATGAGTTTGTTTTGAGCATCTTAAATATAATGTAGTTGGAACTCACGGGGCGTTGATTGGAAGTCATGAGCTTATATTGTCACTTCCACATTGTGATGCTTAGGTATTGACTCATTCATAGTTGTTGTTCCTAATCCCAAGAGCATTGAAGTGAGTACTCTAATATGAGTTTATTACTAAATGTACGTGCTTATTCTACCAAGTATTAACATACAAGGTTTAAATTTATTTCATTGTCAAAGTTCCCTTGGCACGTGTTCCCTTTATATAAATCAAAATGATCCTAGATTACACATCATACATATGTTTATACGTTAGACATACAAGCTTCCCATATATTACCAACTTACTTCAATTGTCAATTCCATCATATATTTCATCTTTCACAGATTCATATGTTCCCTTTATTGGTTATTACTCCCATTGTGTTAGACTATAGTGTTATCTCACAAGATTCCTACTTGCTCTATGTATATTTTATATGTACTTTCTAGGAATATTTATCCGTCTTTAAGCTTAATCTGTCCACATTCTCCTTTAATTCCATGTTCATGTAAAGCTTGTATTTGATATAAGTCAATGAGTATTTAAATATCATATAGAGTTCAAATCTCTTGGATGAATGTTAAATGTCTTCACTTGATATGTGCTTCAACTTGAGATGTCAAAATGCTTACTGAGTCATATAAGCTTCTAATTATTACATTGATGTCACATTTGTTACCCACGTCATTGTCATTATCGTAAGTGCATATTCATATGTCTTCTACTACTGATCCATAATTCCAAATCTCAACAATGATTATGACCACCAAAACAACAATTTCAAAAGAGTTATGATCTATCAAATGAACAATCTCAAAACAATTGTGGACATCAAATCAACAATCTCAAAGATACAAGAATCTAAGTGAAACAATTTGTATAATTATGGGTGGCAGCCCAGGGAAAAATGTCTTGCATGGGCCGATCCCAGTTGGTATAAAAGGGAGATAGCTTAGGGGCATAAGCCTAGCATGGGAAGATCTCTACTTTTATAGAAGGGTGGCAGTTCAGGGGCGAAAGACTAGCATGGGCGATCCCAGTTTGTGAAATTACGAGGACAACATCCCAGGGGTTAAAATGCCTATGATGAGTCATCCTCTTCTACTATTGATCAACTGGTCATTTGTATCATGTGCCTTATAAAGTTTATAACGTACATCAAAATAAGAAAATAATGTAACATATATACACAATTCCACAAGTATTAGCAAATGTGGTCTCTAATCCTTATCTATTGGTATTTGAAGTACCTGAACTCTCATTTTACATATGGTTGTATTATGACTTACAGATTCGGTACATTCTTTAGTACTGACGTCCTTTATTAGGGACTCTGCATTTGATATTGGAGGTACATGTTATCAACTAATAGATCTCCCCAATAGAAACACATGATACTCACCTATTGCTGATGAGCTCCAAGTTGATTCAGGGCATTGCCAAGTCTTTACTATGAATATTTTCATAGTGTATCATAGCTTCACTTGTCAGATGTATCGGTTCAGCTACTCACATGTATTATATACAAAATTTGTCATTAGTAAATCTATTTGCACAATAGTTTATTTTCTCATCATAGATCACTTGTAAAACATGTAGTCATATGGTACTTGTCTGGCTCACCTAGGGTTGGGGTGTGACACTAACTCTCTTCCTAACATGATTTCAAATAAGTAAGAAGAACAATTGTATCTTTTTTTTTTGTTAAAGCTGTTTAATTATTTTCATTTCTCTATACAAAAAGGAGAAAAGAATGTGACTTTCCTTATTCAATGGGGTCATGCATTGAACGCTAAAATCACGTTATGAAAAGCATGAATAAACTTTCATTTTTTTGCATGAGTTTGCCATGGGCCTATGTTATATATATTTATATTCAATTAAAATCATCATTAAAATTGTTGATCAAGTTTTTTACCCTTTATTAAAATTTTTTATAATAAATAAAATTGTTAATTATAATTTACTTATATAATTAAATTTCTAGTATTTAATACTCCTTCCATCCCTTTTTATGTGGGAATCTTTCCTTTTTAGTTTGTACGAAAAAAAATGTCACCTTACTATAATTTGAAAGGGATAAGGCACAAGTACCCCCCTTGACCATGACCGAAATCCCAGATACACACCTTAACTAAAATAAGGTGCTATTACCCCCCCCCCCAAAAAAATAATATTTTTAATTTTGTACACCTTGACATTGGGTTCTCCGCCACGGCCATAATATAGAAGCCCGACACTTTTTGTCTTTTATAATAGGAAGTTGTAGACATTTATGAGGACTTAACTTCCAAGAACACCATATCAAACAAAAAGTCTCAGTTTTGTAGATTTCTACCTCTTGGTCATTCCTCCCACCCCCACCCCCCCACCCCCCGCTGCCGCATAACAATTCGTCACTACCATCAATGTCTCAATTAAGGCAGAATAGGCATTATCGGGTGAAAGAGGGATCACCATATTCGTACCAATTCATCCCTCCTCCTCTGCTGTCGAGAAATCCATATATGTTGCCGCCACCGCCTGATTCCTTGTATCCACATCCTCCTCCTCCTTCATCTTCTCCTCCACCTTCTCCAACACCGTTCCTACCTCCACCCCATTATCCTTCATCTTTTTCTCAACCGTCTCAGCCACTGTTCTCTCCGCTGATAAATCAATATCTACCTCTGTCACCTCCTCCACTTTCTCAGCCACGATTCTATTCGCTTCAATTAGCAATTGCACCACATGAGTATTTCCTTTGGGTTATTAACCTCGACAAAGCATTAAAAACTTGGAGAAAGTCATTTAACCATTAATTTGCCCGGTGATTTATATGTATCACAAATATTTTTGTCCAAATTGTTGTAGGTTTCTGAACCAGTATTTGGAGCACTATTGAAATCCGCAAGCACAACCAGGTCTTTATACTTAGAAACATAGCATTACGTGTTCATGTTATTTCCAGCACCAAAAGATTGATATGATCTAATGACTCCATGAATTTTTTAATAAAAGAAAAGAGAAAAGTGTCACAACAATTACCAATTTATTACCACTCCCATTATTGTTGTCTTCTTTTGATAAAGAACGTTATTTTATTGACTAGAAAGAGAGAAAAAGAATACATGTATACAAGAGATGGTAAGAAAAGATAGTAATGCCAAATGGGTACTAGATTGCTATCTTTTCTTACGATCTCGTATAAATGAATTCTCTTGCTCTCTTTCTAGTTAATGAACATTTCTTTTCAAAATAAGACGGCAGTAGCACGAGTGGTAATAAAGTAGTGATTGCTTGTGACACTTTTCTCTTTTATCTTATAAAAAAACTCATAGTTTCATTAGATCATAACAATCTCTTAGTACTGCAGATAACATGAACAAGTAATGTTATTTGCTAGGTATAAAGACCAGGTTGTGCTTGCGAATTCCGATGGTGCTCCAACTATTGGTTCAAAAACCTATAAAAAGTTGGATAAAACTGTTCGTGATGCATATGAATCGCAAGTGAAATTATGGGTCAAGTGCCTTTCTCCAAGTTCGTAGTGTTTTTTTTCAAGTTATTAAGCCAAAGGAAAGATTCCTTTGGTGCAATTGCTAATTGAAGCAGATAGAATCATGGTTGAGAAGGTGGAGGAGGGGGCAAAGGCAGATACCGATTTATTAGGGGAGAGAACAATGGCTGAGACGGTTGAGAAAAAAACATAGGAGCATGGAGGTAGGCACGGTTTCGGAGAAGGTGGATGAAGAGACGAAGGAGGAGGATGTGGATACAAGGAACTCGGCGGAGGCAGCGACAGATATGGATATCTCGACAGTGTAGGATGAGCGATGTATTGTAAGCAATATGGCGATCCCTCTTTCACCCGATAACCCCAATTCTACCGGAATTGAGACATCGATGGTGGTGGCAAATTGCTACACGATGGCGATGGCAGGGAATGGTTTAGAGGTAGAAGTCTATAAGTCCACACTTTTTGTTAGATATGATTTTCTTTGAGTTGAGTCCCTATAAGTGTCTGTGGCTTTCTACTATATCAAACAAAAAGTGTGGGCTTCTAGGCTTTTACGTCTAAGGCATTCTCTCCTCTATATCACTTGACATTAGGTTTCTCTGCCACAACCATCACAGCATAATTTTTGCCAACATCAATGATGTCTCAATTCACGCAAAATTTGGGTTACCAGTGAATGAAGGATCGTCATATTTGTACCAATACATTTCTCCTCTTCCGCTGTGGAGAAATGCATATTCACCACTTTGTCAGAATTAAAAACTGTTTGGAAATTACGTGCTCTATTTTTTTGTTGGATATTGGGTTTGAAATACCCAATTCTTGATTTTGAGAATGCAAATGTACCATTCTTGATTCGATTCCAACAATGGAAAGCAACTAGACAATTTATAATTGATTAATGAATGATTTCACCTAATAACTCGAAAATCTGTTTGATAAATTTTTTTATTCTAAAAAAGAGAGTTAATCACAATCAAATTTTAAACCCTACTAATTTGATGAAAAAATATTTAAGAAAGGCCTATGACATGGTAACCTGGGAATTTGTGGAGTAAGCACTCATTGGATATGAATTTCCTAAAAGCTTTACAGAGTTGGTAATGATATGTGAAGGGAATGAATTTTTTGCTGGCAAGAGAGGTTTACGACAAGGGGATCCAATGAATCCTCTCTTGTTTGTCCTAGTAACGGAGTATTTATCGACGGTCTTAAAGTGCATGAATTACCTGGCTTTTATTTTCATCTGATGTGTAAGCATCTTAAGTTGACTCATTTAATCTTTGTCGATGATCTAAATCACTTGAAAAGGTGACACTAGTTCTGTGGCTAGAGTGATGGAAACTTTAACTTATTTTAGTGAAGTAACGAGTTTGTGGCTAATGTAGATAAATTTGACCTGTTTGTAGCTAGCGTAGACGATAGGAACTTGTGGACAACTGTTAGAATTGACTGGATTCACTCTAAGACATCTTCCAATGATATATCTTGGGCTTTTCCTGTCATCCAAAAAGTTCAAGAGAGTGGATTCCCAAATTCTAATAGAAAGATCACTAGCCGAATTAAAACTTGTTATATCTCACACCAGTATAATTCAAATTGTGACTACTGTTTTGCTCTTATACATAGTTTATAGGGGTTTGTGTTCATTCAGCCCAAAGTATTCTACAGGAGGTTGATAGAATTTGTAGGAATTATCTTTGGGGGAGTAATTAAGAGAGGAGGAAAGTGTCGCATGGGAGAAGATTTGTTGTCCACATGAGCTTGGAGGGTTGCAATAATTGGAATGTTGCATCAGTAGGCAAATTGTTATAGCAGTTATCAGAAAAACAGAATACGTTGTAGGTTTAATGGGTACATGAGATCTATATATGGAATGATGATTCCATTTGGGAAAATATATATTCTTCCTCTAGATTGCAGTTTGTCCTGGAAAAAGTTAAATATACTGTCGAACAACAAGAGGACTGGTATTTACAAGGGGGTATAATCTAACTCATTCTGGCCAATATTCAATCTCTGCCAGCTAAAATGCAATGAAAGGGTTAATTGAACAAGCTAAAGATAGCTGATCTTATTTGGACGTCTGTGCCAAGGCATCGAATTATAATGTGATTAGCTGTAACGACCTGTTTAGTCATTTTGAGCAGCAGATTTTATTCTGGAAAAATAGGCTGAGGCGACGGACCCAACGACGGACAGTCATGGGCACGACGGACCGTCGCGGGGTCTCGTTTCAAAACACTTAGAAAATCTGAAATTGGGTACTGAAAATCGACTCTCTGAACTTCGTAACGGAGTGGCAGGACGGACCGTCACAGGCCATTCACCCAAAATCAAGTTTTTGAACTATGCGACGGATAGCAGGACGGACCGTCGCAAGCGCGACGGCCCGTCACAGTTTGCATAATCCCACTTGGAGTCGGATTTCTTGTTAAGTTTTAAGGGACGTTTTTTACTATTCTTGCCTTAATTATAAAGTTCGTGGGTTTATATTAATAACTCAAATTCTTGGGGGTTAAAAGAGGTAACCCTAAGTTAATTAGTGGGGTATTATTGCTATCTTTTATTCTTAATTATATACTAATTAGGGTAAAAGAAAGAGGGTTTGAATAAGAAAATAGAAAGAACAAGGGAGAGAGAGAAACGATCGAGAAGAAGAGGAAAACACCAAGCTTTGAGGATTAACTTGCTTGATTTCAATTCTTCGGTGGAGGTAGGTTATGGTTTCATGCTATTCGTAGTAGACTCTCAATAGCGAATGATATGTATTGGTAGTATTGTAAACCGGTCTATAGGCTTAATTGTATGCTTGCATGAATATGATTATGTGATTGTGATAAAACAAGCATGATGAAAACTATTGAATCCCAAATCTTGAAAGAAACTTAAATATACATTATTAATGATGATGCCTTGGTATAGAAGAAGGCTTGATGAATTAAAGTAATGGGATTGATGATGCCTTGGTATAGAGAAGGCTTGATGAATTTATAGAATGATATTAGTGGATCGGAGTGTCACGTTCCGACACATAGTATTAGTGGATCGGAGTGTCACGTTCCGACACATAGAATTAGGGGATCGGAGTGTCACGTTCCGACACAATGTAGGGGATCGGAGTGTCACGTACCGACACATGTAGGGGATCGGAGTGTCACGTTCCGACACATAGAATTAGGGGATCGGAGTGTCACGTACCGACACATAGTAGTAGGGGATCGGAGTGTCACGTACCGACACAAGAGGAGGAAAGATAATGAATCTTGAAAGATTATAATATACTCAACTTAATAAAACTTAATTCCCAAATGAGTATGGTGTTGAGGCTTGAGCCCTCATGGATGAACTTGATGGTACTTATTGATGATTATAGTACTTGTTGTTGCTACATGTTGAGTTTTATAGTTGATTTACGATAGTATTTGATATATACTGTTCCCTATTTTGAGTTGGCCGATGATATCTACTCAGTACCCGTGTTTTGTACTGACCCCTACTTTTATGTTTTTCTTCTTGTTATTTGTGGAGTGCAGCAAACGTGCCGTCATCTTCGACTCAACAGTAACTCAAGCCAGTCTTCGTCACACCGGATCTTCAGGGTGAGCTAACGCTTCTAGCTTGGACTGGGTATTCTTCTTCAAGTCTTGATGCCTTGAACTTCCGGCATGGACTAGCTTCTTATGTATTTTTAGCTTTTAGATACTCTTAGTTTAGTAATTTAAAGGTAGATGTTCTTGTGATGATGACTTCCAGATTCTGGGGATAATGATAAGTTTTTGAGTTATAGAAGTTGATTATTTATTTTTACTTATGAGTTTAAGTCTTCCGCATTACTTTCTGTTTATATTGAAGTGTTAAGGTTAGATTGGTTGGTTCGCTCACATAGGAGGGTAAGTGTGGGTGCCAGCCGCGGCCCGGATTTGGGTCGTGACAAACTTGGTATCAGAGCATTAGGTTCGTTGGTCTCATCACACAAGAACAGATCTAGTAGAGTCTTAAGGAATGGTAGGGGGACGCCTTTACTTTTCCTTGAGAGGCTATAAGACTTTAGGAAAATTTCACTCTTTCATTCTTTCTTTCATGCTACTACTTGAGTCCAATTGGTATCTGACCATCTTAACTCTCTTTCGCAGATGGTTAGAACTAGAGCAACGAATACGCCAACACCAACACCGGCCAGACAAGAAACAACTGAGCCAGCCACTG